CTTTCCACTCAAGATTCTAATTTTTTACATTAAAATATAACTTCTTTCACAGTGCAAGTTGATTGATTTTGATTTGCAGTGCAGTAAAAGAAGTTATATTTTAATGTAAAAAATTAGAATCTTGAGTGGAAAGATGATTCTGACTTGAAGAAGAAATAAGTCTGTGAAAAGCTGAATTTTGAAGAAGATCGCGATTATTATGAGTGAGGTGCCTGTAACTCAAAGTTTCCATGACTTTTTCTTTTTGATAGATTTATACATGGTTGGAATATACAGAACTTTTATTTTGAACGATGTAAGCATTTTTAAGTGTTTCTCGAGGTTGTATCGTATTTACTCGGTCGATTATATTTAATTTAAGTCTTTCTCTCGCAATACTTCAAAACTTTCTATAATAAAAATTAAAAGACTTTAGACTAGTATTTGCATTCAATATGCTAAAGTGGCAAAAAACTTCAGAACCAACTTTCTTTTCTTTGTTTCTTCCAGAACTGTTTATTTTAAAGGATAATGTCGTATCGAGAAAATAGTCTTGCTAAAATATGACTTAAGAGTCAATTCAGATACCATTGAACAAGTATACCAGTTTGTAGAAAATTGTTCGCTCTACAAGATGTGATAGCTTTCTTTGATTAATACATTCTTTTTTAAATTAACAGCTGCCATAGTCTAAACTGGAATCTATTTTATTAAAAAAGGTCTCACGTTTCGACTCTTCAAAGAAGTCTGGCTGCTGTTAATTTAAAAAAGAATATTCTAATCAAATTATTGGCTCTTAATCGTTTTAATGTTGATTAATACAGCTTAATTATTAATAGTTTTGAACTGGACAAGCTATCACATCTTGTAGAGCGTTCAATGTTTAACAGCTCGTCTTCACTCTTTTAGACACGTTGTTTTTGATAGCCCAAAAACCGATGTTTTGGACTGTTTGTACAACAGCTGTATTTTCATAGCAAATTAACGTTCAGAGCCGAGACACTTTTGATTTTGTAATTCGACTAGATTCGTTTTTGTCACGGTACTTTTGAATTTCTGACACCTTATAACATTCAATATATTCAATATATGAAAAGATTAGAAGTTAAAAGATATCGATGAAGCGTAAAGAAAGGCGATTCGCGAAATAATTTTTATGTTCGGAGAACTCTCCACAGTAGCGAACAAAACGAAGCTAAGTAACATGCTCTGTTCTAAAATATTTTGTTTCTGAAAGAGATCTTAAGTATGCTCAATAAAAAGGGAGGACATAATTATTTTCCTTGAACTGAGTAAACATAACATAAACATTATACTCCCAAAATTACTAAAACAGATTAGCAAATACATGAATTAAAGTGAATAAATGTCAATGTCCAACTGTTAACATTATTAATATGCTAAGTGAATACTTTTATTGACATAACACATTTTTATTAAGTGTATAAAAAGCTCAGTAAAGTCAGTATAAAACAGTTCCTCTTATTTCTCTGCAAAACATTCTTGGCACATATTTACTCCATTTACTGGAAAAGGTATGTAGAAAGCATTGAATGAATGAGCCATGGTAACTATATTTTTCATCTTGGACATATTAACTATCATTTCTTTATTTTAAAAATTCCGATTGTACTGGAATTATCGAAGCTTCATCTTGACGCATGCTACACGACAGATAATCATGCGATAAGCACACATCCAAGCCAGATTACGTAAGCTAGGGAATCCAGCTACATAAATAGCTGCAGAGCCCACTTGCAGCTAGATTAAATAGACTAAAAAATACATTTATCTATCTGCATGCTGGTTGAAATTGTGCACTGGCTGAAACGGCCGCTAAATTAATTGAGCAATAAATTGCCCGATTAATTGATAGCAACTAGTTATACCCAATTGAAGCTAGATTCAATCTAATTACGCTAGATAAATTTTCATATCACTGATAAAAAAATTCAGCACACTTGATGACCTGGGAAATTTTCTATTTTTAGCGAAGGGTACCGCCCAAAAAGTTAAAAAAAATTTTCAAACGAATCGCGAGAAAAAATCTCCATGGTAAAATTATACAATTTCGAAAATTTTTCTTAACTTTTTGGCAGTACTACTTGCTAAAAATAGAAAATTTTCCAGGTTATTAAGTGTGCTGAATACGAAAAAGCACTTTTCTTTAACTCTAAACAAACTTTAATTTATTGTCGGTGATATGTCATGTATTACAGTGCAGCAAATGGAAGTTAGATCAGTGTACCTTTCAATCTCGATGCAACCGCCCATTTCACTAGTTTTTTCCGTGCTTGGACTAATGTAAAAAGCTAACAGGTGAACATTTCAGCTAAGGACCAAGGAGAGATCAATAAGAAGTTTTTTGCTATTTGATTTATTCCTTGATGTATTGGTCTACTGAAGCTTTTTCAGACGTGTTATACTGATATATTGTTTAGATCTTTGAATCTTTCACTCACGTCGGTATAAGCTTTAATATATTAGTTTTTTTTCTTAAGAACACTTAGGAATGAATTTTGTTTTTGTCGTATTTGTCCTATTAATTTCAACCTGTTATGGTGGAATTGATCAAGCATGTTTGGATTGTATATGCGAAATTGAGAGTCAATGTAGTGCAATCGGATGTAGCGAAGATGTTGGTTCACTTTCATGTGGGTATTATCAAATAAAAGAGAATTATTACATCGATTGTGAAGAGCCCGGTGATGATTGGCAGTCGTGCGCTGATGATAAATCGTGTGCTGACACATGTGTAGAAAACTATTTGGAACGCTATGGGACATATTGCACGGGAGGCAGTGAACCGACGTGTGAAGATTATGCAAGAATACATAATGGAGGACCGAAAGGATGCCAAACAGAAGCAACAACAGGTTATTGGGAAAGAGTTCAAAAATGTTTGGACAGCAAGAAGTAAAGTAATTTACTGCCAGCGTCAATTTTTTGCCCTGCTTTTTTGTAATATTACGAGATAAATAAAGAATGAATAATCCTGTCTTGAACCAGTCTGCTATGGGGCGTCAACGTCAGTGCTGCATTCAGTTTATATACACGGGTGTTGTCTAGTGAATGTTCTCATATACAAAAGTGATCTGTACAATAGCAGTTTTTCAATTACTATGTATTTCAGAATAGAAGAGGATTCGTTTTGGATAACTGCAAAATCTAAGCTAGATGTATGTAGAACAGAGTTTGAGCTATCTTGTGAACTATGATGTAAGTCTCGTCGAAGAACGATCTTATACATGTGTAACATAATAAGCTTTACATCGAAAAAATATCGATATAGAGATCTTTTCCCATGAACCAGCAAGACCGATTTTTCGAAATGTGTTTTTTTCTGAAAACGTTTATTTTTCCTGTAATAAAAAGCATCAGAAATGAATGACTCAGCAATGATAATTATTGATGAAAAAGTAACTTATAGGCAAAAATTCTGGCATCCGCCTACGATTAGTAAAGCTAGACGTTTGTTCTCAGCTCTTTTTAGATGAAAACCGCAGGCATTTTTGGTTGTGATTCAACTTTTCCACAAAAACGTAGAGAATTCATTCAGGGTGTAGCGGGAAAGACCCCTGGCGTTAAAGGTCGATGTTTCACACGAACTGCCCCTATCGCAATTTGTTCAGACGTAAGCATTCTGATCGAATTTTATTATCAACATCGAACTTATCAATGGTTTCGATATAGTGTTGTTCTGGATCTGTTATGTTGCCAAATTCCTCAAAGGAGGGGGCCCGCTTTTCATTGATTTTAGCTCACTGCTTTTCCGACCTAGTCTTGATCACATTTTGCAGAGAAAACGACTTTACACATTTTCATGTGCATATGTAGTATTATAACCTTATGGTGACTTTTTAAATTAACTTTTCTGAGGAGGTACATAAAACATATCGATGCTGAGCAAAAACGATTTTGTTCAAAATCCAGTACGAAGTTACCCTAAAGCTTGATATAGAAAAATAGCTCTTGCAAAACTCTACAATATTCCGATTAAACAAACCCTACTGGCTCAATCCTTTATAGGTCAAATATGAGCCCAATGACCCCTAAAAGTCAATACAATTGATGTTTTAGCCATTTTACTCCCATAAATAAGAGAGATGCAACTAGTCTTTAGTGTAGAAAGAGAGTACTTGAAAGTGTGATGTCCTGGTAGATAGACTATATGGTAATGCATAAGCTGTAAGCGCCATACAGCATGATGTTTTCTGTCTCTGTGAATTCCTACATATATTTTCGATTCTTCTAACCGCATGTACATTCACACATAGATTTTAATCTGTTTTTCTTTGCTAAAGTGAACGGATACACTATCCTTCCGTCTTTTAGTTGTCGAACAGTCTGTGAAGATTTTTTGCACATTTCTCTGTCTGTCATTTTATCTCGTATATTCAAACTGTTCCATAGTTTATTTGTCATTCTGGTTGTATTAAAGACATAGTAAGAGGTACAATATCTGATGCACAAGTATCTATTGACGTTGAGTCAGCACAGGTTGGTGATTCCTCTATATAGCACTGGTCCAACACAAAGAAAATATAACTGAAGTGAAAGGTTTTTCGATGCCACTGAAATGTTGATTAAAAATACTTAACCGGGAAGGAATTGCATTTGAATACGTCTATTGAATAATATCGCTTCCATCACTGTCTGTTCTATCTCCAAGTGTGTATTTCACATCTTCTTCAGAGCTACTGCTGTAGGTAGAGTATTTCTGATTGGCTTCGACATGGTCAAAATATTTTTCGGGAGTTTGTACATATGATGGGGTTATTAAATGTCTTTGATAGCCCAGATACCATAGTGTCGCTGCAGAATGGAGGCAACAACCAATTGTACGACTACCTGAACAGCACGTACAATAACAACATACGATCGGTTGCTTTTTGTTTTCATCAAACTGTATGTACGAAATACGTGTTGTTTGCATTCGTAAATCGGGATTGATATTTCACTCGAACAATGTCTGGTTGTTCATCGCATAATTCTACAAAAAAACTTTTTGCGTCGGGACTGGCTGAAGAACTTTTTTCTTTTTCTAGATGTTCGGCAACAAAACTTTTTGCTTGACGTAACTGGAAAATACCTAAAGGAGAGCGGCAGGTGGACGTCGTTGTATACAAACAGATAAGATGTTCTTACCAAAAGTTAAATCTCTTAACTGGTCTTCTGATAGTTCTGAAAAGTCACAATCAGTAGCATCATAATTTTTTCATTTTGAGTTTTTAGTTAGATCGTACTGTATAATTCGTTCTTTTAATGAATTTTTATCGTGCAAACGTTTTAGCATCTCAGCACCCATAGCTGTTGAATCTTTGTTGATATTCAAAATAGCAGGAGGTCTGAACGATTTATCAGTGAACAAATAATCAGTAAATAATCATGGAGAAAGGGGATTGTGTTGTTTTGAATAATGTGAGAAAAAAATTTCCATTGTTTGATTTTGCCGTTAACTGATTCCACAACCCATCTTAACTTAGTAATACATCTGGTCTTATTTGCTTCGTCTGTATCGAATTCGTTTTTGCCATTCAGAAAGCTTGGGATAGCAACAGAAAAACCCAGTTTTGTCATCATCTTCACTGCGTCTCTAAATCCTCTGTCAACGACGATGACGTCATTTTTGAGACATAATGATATAGCCTGCAATAAAAGAATAGGATAACAGTTGGGAAGCCCAAGACAGGGTGGATGAACTAACCATCTGTGGAAGTTATCAGCATAGGCTTCAAAAGTGATCGTCTTGTGCATACTGTATGATTTGCGCTGAAATTGGTTATTAGCAGATTTTTGGATGTACAAGTATGTACCGTCAATAACAACACAAACTTGATCCGCATTATCTGTTAGCAGTTGCTTAGCAAGGTCAGTTGTGTGATCAGATATAATCTGTTTTGGTATTAAAACGAAGAAAGGAATAGTAAAAAAATGAAAATATTTTGGAATTTAGCAAGAAAGTCTTTCAACTTTAACTACAGCGGAAAGCTTTTTTTACTCATACCTTACTTCGTTCGATATGATTAAAGCCAATGTTATAGGGCACAAAATCGTTTATTAATGCGGCACGAACTTGGTGAATTATTTTTCCTATTTTTTTCTCCTTTAACTGAAATAATGTGAACAATATTCTATTGTTCAAACCCATTCTCATTTTACTTAAAAACACCGCCAATGAATGCATGACTGCACAGTGATAGAGGAAAAGAAGACAGCCACTGATATATCACTGACCTTTGCTTAAACCGCTTGTATTTTGATAATCATAGTCAGTTAACACTTGTGGGGCATCAAAATCAAAAATTCTCGGACGGAATTGTATTCATCATATTAAGGATATCATTTGATGTAACACGAATTTTATCCGAAATATGACCTTGTATACCAAGAAGTGCTTCACTTTTCAATTCTCTGTTGTAGATGTGACTAGAGCAACGGCGAACACCTTCAGGAACAAAAATCCCTCGTTTAGCAAAAACCATTTCTCGTTGACTACGTGATATCCGAGCCATGTTTCGTTGTTTGTAAGAACTGCATACTACACAAGACCTGTGATGAATATATTTTAAGTATTTAGAAAAAAATATACTAAACACGCTCACTCTACACACTCTTTCACACATACCGATGAGATTTACTCGAGCGATCAATTGAAATTTCAATAGTGGATTGTTGAGGGTCAGATAAAGATGTTACTAGACAACTGGGCGTAGAATGAGTATTCTTAAGAGAAATATTCTGTGAGAACATCAAAGAAGCGCGATTGGTAAATGACATGAGCTAAAAAGTACTTACTGAAATGTCCATGCTATGCTCAGGCACTATAATTTCCCTAATACTATTATTCAATAACTTCGGAAGTTCATATCCAGTTCTTCGTTTCCATTTGTCGAACTTGGATCGGCATCAACTACAGATTTGTTGGCCTAAATCTACTGTTTTTAGTGCACGAGCAGAAACAAATAGTTGTAATAATCTCAATCACTACAACCCAAGTCAACTTTTGCGATGAAATCGCGGCGCGACCCGCGCTAAAAAATCGCGTCGCGATCGCTATAAGACTCGCGAAATAAGACGCGATTTTAGCGATCGCTATTTTGTCGCGATATACTACTGAATGGGATGTATATTTACTATTCTCGCGATGTAATCTTGCATAGAACTACGTACACTGACATTGTCGCGCCGCGATTCTTGCTTACGTGGCGGGAGTCAGCGCGACACGCTATTTGTCGCGGTGTGAATCCCGTTGTCACGGCACGATTTTAAATGCATTTGCTATTTTTCTTTTCTTTGAACTCGTACAGTGATTGTTTTCGTTACTAGGGTAGTTTGAAAGCTGTTTTGCTTGCTGCCAGATTGTTTTTTAACGTCGCTAGGCGCAAAGCATAGATCTGTAGGTGGTATTACTGATAGCTGGGAAATTGACTAAATCCTAACGAGCACAAAAATCCATTCAACATTCGCCATTTATAGTCAATGCAAATGAATATTTTTATGGTCTTGTGCTTGTACATGATTATTTGAAACACAGGTGACCGTTTCAGCTAAGAACACTAACCAGAACATTTAATAGTCTTTTCATTTTTCACATGAAAAAAAAGTCGCTTGTTTTTAATACAATCTTTTTTAAAATGAAAATAAAGCAACTTTAGGAAATTTTGACGGCATAATATGAAATATATATTTCATGTTGAAGCTTGTTCGAGGATGCAGTTCAGAACATGCCAGAAAGTCAAAAACTCCAACATATCGGGTGGTGTTATAATTTTTGACAGTACTATAGATGCACAAATCAAGATATCACCTAAAATATTAGATGTTTGTATTTCAGGGAGGAAGAATACTTTTTCAGCTTCCAGTTTGGCACTTAAGTGCACCATGTTTTACCGGCTTACTCTTTGGAACATGATGTAC